ATGTTCTGAAACATAAAGCAGGCATAGAGCTATTTCAAACAGACTCTTGGTGGCAGGATGTCGAGAATCTCACGATGTTTTGGATTTACTCTTTATAAATATTTTTAGGTAAAAATTTTGGTTTATGCAGCTTGATGGTAGAGTAAAGACTTTACATCCAAACATACATGGTGGCATTCTTGCTAGACGGAACATTGTTCACCACATGGATGCTTTAAGTGAGCATGGAATTGGTGAGTTTCTACCCCAAATTTGATTGTGATTGATGTGGCGGCAAATGCGTATAGTGTACGAAACATGTACTCATGCGTCCTATCTCACTTTTGTTTATTTACATGTTAACTATTTTGGTCTAGGGACATTTGATATTGTGGTTGTGAACCTGTATCCCTTTTATTCGAAAGTCACGTCAGCAAGTGGAGTAAAATTTGAGGATGGCATTGAGAATATTGACATTGGTGGCCCAACATTGATTCGCGCTGCTGCCAAGGTCATTATGCTGGATCGAATACATATATGCCACCATTTGATTTTTTGGCATTTACATACATACCACCTAATTCCTACTTATTTACATATCTAATACCTAAACTTTGTTTGTCATATTTTGAGCATGTAAATCTTTCATATCACATAAAAAATACAGTTATTTTAACTTGTAAAAGGTCAAATACACTTTTTCATGCATAAGTGAAGTGTCATATATTATAAATTGAAGTTTAGGTGCTAGATATGGAATTAAATAGGAATTGAGTGGAATGTATGTAAATCTTCCTTAATCCTTAATTTTTATAGCTGTTTCATTGAATTTAGTTTTTTGAACAGAATCACGTGGATGTTTTGGTTGTCGTAGACCCTGAAGACTATCCTTCCCTTCTCAAATTTCTGCAAGGAAAAGAAGATAATCAGCAATTTCGCAGGCAACTTGCCTGGAAAGCTTTTCAACATGTTGCTTCCTATGATTCAGCAGTTTCAGAATGGCTGTGGAAGCAATCTCCACAAGGTATCATATGGAATAAATGTTTTTTGAACATAATACATATTTCTGCAAAATATCATTTTTATTTTTTCTTGTTAAGGCAAGTTTCCTCCCAGCCTTACAGTGCCACTTACGATGAAGTGCGCTCTTCGGTATGGGGAAAATCCTCATCAAAAGGCAGCATTTTACGACGATAAGAGTCTCTCTCTGGTGAATTTTGGAGGCATTGGAACTGCTATCCAACATCATGGAAAGGTGCAACATGTTTAAAAAGTTTTTCGGGACATATTTTAGCTGCTTATTTGTTGATTTTCTGCTGATTTTACTTGCACGTTACAAAATTTGATAAGAGTCGTTGTATTCATTTGTGGAAGATTGTTAGTCAAGAAAGTATAGTGTGAAAGGAGTATTAGAGGCAGCGATTGTGAAGAAAGTAGTTGGGGTTCATGGTATTGAGATTGTGTAGGGAGGGCATGGTATGAATTTGATTAGGTTGGTTGTGTTGGAAAGGTGATGTGGTTGCTTACAAATGGATAAGTCAAGTTCACAATGATTTAAGTTATAGTTTTAAGATAGCAAAAATAAAAAAAAACAAAAAGTTCCTCAAATCATTCCGAAGGGCTCATTTTAGTTTTAGAGTTTATAAAAAGTGTCAATTTAATCCTCAGACAATTTTAATTTGGGCTGAAACAATCCCTATGGAGGGCTATTTTTGCCCCAATTTCATTAGTCGAGGGACTAATTTGACGCTTTTGTAGACTCTGAGACTAAAATGGAATCATGTAAACAATCACGAGACTATTTTTGCGCTTTACTCGATAGCAAAGGTATCCAAATAGTTTCTGAAGAGATTTTTTTCCTCATCATTTAGAGATGTGTACAATCAAAGGGACTAAAATGTCAGTTTATAGATGATGAATGAATTATAAAACTGGTCTCTGATGACAAGGGTTCATATTTTAGAGCCAAGTAGCATAATAGGAGCTATAAGACCAAAATACAAAATGTATTAAATATTGATTTGGATATAGTAAACTTGATTAGTGGAATTCGCCAGAAAAATACAAGGTTCGAGAAAGATGGGTTCCGTGGTTTAGAATAGCTGTAACTTCGTTATAAATTCCTTAAAAGTTTGGATTGAACATCTTTATATTTTAAATTATCTATAATCTGTTATTCTTAAATATTTATCGCCAAAATTCTAAGTGTAGATTCATTAAATTGTTTCTTCAATTACTTTTTAGTAAATATGGTTAATATAGTAGAAGATTTACATGCATACCACTCAATTCTTTTGTATTTGCTTATCTAATACAACACATATGCTACCTTACTTATACATGAAAAGATGTATTTCACTTTCTAAAAGTCAAAATAGTTGTATTTTTTTTATGTTAGATGAAGGATTTAATTTTATAAATATACTTTGAAACAGGAAATGTCTTACAATAATTACTTAGATGCGGACGCTGCTTGGAACTGTGTCTCAGAGTTTGAAAAGCCTACATGTGTGATTGTAAAGCATACAAATCCATGCGGGGTAGCATCAAGAGAAGACATCCTTGAAGCTTATAGATTGGCTGTGAAAGCAGATCCTGTTAGTGCATTTGGTGGAATAGTTTCCTTCAACACAATTTTAGATGAGGTATTTAATGTTTTGAGACACTACATCATCATCATTATAGCTTTATCTCAACTATTTAGAATCGGTTTTATGACTTCTCATTTTACATTCGTTAGTGTTGATTGTTGCAATAGGGTTTAGATTTTTTCTACGCAATTCGTTTTGATATATGCTGTTTTCATTTAGCTTCTTTCTAATCTCTCCGCCCTTTCTACTATTCTACGTAAATGTCCAAACCACATGAATTTATTTTTCATATCTTATCTTCAATAGATACTGCTCCCACATCTCTTTTGTATGATCATTTTTCAATCTATTATTCTTTATTCTAGAACACATTCATCTAAGCTATAACTATCTTACCTTAACCTAAGAAGTTGAAAGTTGATGTTAGTTTCATTACAAATTATAAATTTTTTATCTAGATTGATCATCATCAACATCATTGAAATTTCATAATTGTGTGTAGATGAGGCTTTTTGAACCTTTTAATTTTTGTATGTCTAATTGTAGTTTTTTACGTTATTAGGATCTTGCCAAAGAAATTCGAGAGTTTAGAAGCCCAAACGATGGCGAAACAAGAATGTTTTATGAGATAATAATTGCACCGAACTATACAGAAAAGGGCCTTGAGATCTTACGCGGTAAGTCGAAGAATTTGAGGATACTTGAGGCGAAAAGGACTCAAAAGGGAATGCTCTCGCTCAGACAAGTTAGTGGGGGGTGGTTAGCTCAAGATTCTGATGATTTGATTCCACGAGAAACTGAATTTAAGGTTATGTCGGATAGGGTCCCCCAGGCAAATGAGTTGTCAGATGCGCAATTTGCGTGGCTCTGTGTAAAGCATGTGAAGAGCAATGCAATTGTCATTGCTAAGGTTAGCTCTTCTCACCGCTTGTTTGGCCATTTCTCTATATTTACTATTTTCATTCACTTATTTAAAAAATAAATAACTTAAAAATATAGAACTATAATTTAAAACTATTCTTAATGACCTGATAGAACATATCTTACATGCAACTATTGATTCAAGAACAAAGGCTTGTTTGGGATCAATTTTATTTTTTAGTTTTGTTATTAATCTTTTTTTTTTCTTTTTTAAAACATGTTTGAGTATATTTTTTTACTTGCTTTATTTATTTATTTTTGGTTTGGGATCAATTTGATTTTTTAGTTTTGTTTTTAATCTTTTTTTTATTTTTTATTTTTTAAAACATGTTTGTAGTATATTTTTTTACTTGTTTTATTTATTTATTTTTTTCTAAACACAAATTAACATGTTTTTGAAAACACTTAAAATAACTTTTAAGTGTTTTGTGTGTTTTTAGAAATGATAATATCTTACTTATACATACCGAACATGTTTTATTTTAAATTAAAACATAAACAAAATAAAATAAAATTTAAAAGTAGAAAATAAAAGCAATAAGTGATGCCAAATGACTCCTAAGTTAACATATCTTCCCCAAGTAATTAAGGGGCTGCTTGGGATTACTTTTGTATTTTTGCATTTTTATTTTTTATCTTTTATTTTATTTTATTTTTGTTTTGATTGATTTAAAATAGGTCTGGTTGTCATAATTATTTTTAAAGATGTTTTTAGGTTTTTTTAAAACAAAGTTGATTCGTTTTTTTTTTAAATGCTAATCAAACATGTTTCAAAACAAAAGGAAAAAAAAACAAAAATAGAAAACAGAAATGATGCTAAAAGTCTTAAAAAGATGAATAAAACTGAAACCATTGCACATAACCTCAAGAAAATAGTGACTTGGGATTTTTTTCTGTTATATTTGCAAACAATGAATCACCAACGTAGTACTCGAAATCTATTTCATTTCTACAGAATAACTGCATGTTGGGAATGGGGAGTGGTCAGCCAAACAGGTTAGAGAGCTTAAGAATCGCTTTCTCGAAAGCAGGAGAAGAGGCAAAGGGAGCTGCTTTGGCTAGCGATGCATTCTTTCCCTTCGGTAAGTAAACCATGATATTATTACTTTTCTCATTTTTTTTGGAAATTTGAGTGAATTTAATTGCATACTCACGCAAAACGCATAACCAGGAAAGTTGGCTTGCATTGGGATACTATTTTGATAAAAATGTTTTCTTCACTTTCATCATTGTAACAAATGATAAATATCAAAATGTTATTTTGTGCAAATCACTCCATGTTTTTTTTTTCATTTAATTTTTTTCTATTTCATTTATTGTCAGGGTGAACAAATCTTGTTTCAAATATATAGATTGATGTTTTCGTGTGCGATTAGCTAGTCCTTCACTAATAACTTCTCATATGATGCTGCATCTATGAAGAATAGAAATAAAGCATATTCGTCTCATGGCTCTTAAATTAATCTCTAGGCATAAAACTAGTGCAGAGCAACAGACTTTTCATCATCGTTATCCGGCTCTTTTACGATCTTATCATGAGTAGTTATTATGTATAGTTTTTGGTCGCGGATTTGATGTAGTTGATTGGTACTTATACAAGTTTTGTTCTCTAACATTTATATGGTCTGTGCTTAACGCTGTCCTCCACCGCTCGTCTGCTTGTATGACTCGTTTGATGGTGATGAGATAAAACGAGTTCGCCTTAGCCTTCTCATTCCTCCGTTCCCCTCCAGATTTTCACCACTCTTTTTTTATTACCTGCTTCACTCTGTAAAAGAGAGGCATAAGAAATTTGAAGAATCGCAGAAGGAAAAGTAACAAAGTGGAAGAATAAGAAAAGAGTGGTGAAAATTTGATTATTGTTTAGTATTGAAGAGTGAGAATGAGAAGTAATCTTATTGTTGAAATTTTTGCTATTGGACTGAATGTGACCATATGATTGAGTCCATATTCTTGTTGATAACCCAAAGCTACTAATCTAGCTTTATACTGTGCCATCGAACCGTCCGAATTTCATTTGATTTTTGTAAGTCCATTTGTTGCCAAGTATGGGTTGATCGACGGGAGCGGGAATAAGCTTCCAAGTGTTTTATTTTTACGGAGTAAAGTTCCTCTTCCATTGCTTTCTGCCAGTGATCATATTGAGCAGCTTGTTTGTAGGTTGTTGTTTCACATTGGGATAATTGAACATGCACCGAATCAAGGATTTTCTTTTTGGTTAAAGCTCCTGTTTGGGATCTCGTGACCATAGGATGTTTTAGTGGTTGTTGAGAAGGTGGTGGTAAAGGTATGGAGAGGTTTTATGTGGAGGAGGTGTTAGTTACCGTTGGTTCAGCATGCTCTATTTCTGGATCGGTTGGAAATGGGTACTTTGCTCCTTGTGATAATTCTGGAATGGTTGTTGGTATTGGATTAGTGGAGGGGCTGGGTTGAACACTTGGGGTATAGGAGGTTTGTAGAGTAGATGCGGGTAGGAGAGTAAGTGGGGAGGGAATGATGGTGTTTTGGGTTATTGGTTCGGGCCGTTTAAGTTGTTTGTTAGGATAAATAGTTTCAACATGACGAGAGATGATCATCTTATCTGTGGTTGGATCAAAACATTTGTACCCTTTAAATAGCCCAAAAATACACAACCTATAGAGTGTTGTTGAAGTTTATTTTGGCAAATTGACGGTAACCAGGGAAAACATTGATTTCCATATGTTTTAAGATGACTGTAATCCGTTGTAGAGCCACGAAGAAGCTGATATGTTGACTTGGACGGTAACCGATTGATCTAGTTGTAGTGAGGACCATCTCAAGCCAAAGAGAAGGGGATACATTGGAATCAAACATAAGTGCTCTTGTAGTTTCTAGTATGTGACGTTTCCTTTATGCAATTCCGTTTTGCTGGGCGTATAGGGATAACTAGTTTGCTGGATAATTCCATAAATAATAAGTAAAATTTTGAATTGTTGGCTAGTGTATTCCCCACCATTATCAGTCCATAGTACTTTATTCTTTGATTAAACTGAAGTTCTACTTCTTGTTTGAATTTAATAAAGTGATGAATAACTTCAGATTTGCTTGTCATAGGATAGAGCCACGTATATGCAGTAAAGTCATCAACAAATAACAGATAATCGCGGTAGCCTTGATTAGACACAGTTGAGGAGGGACCCCAAACATCTGTATAATTAAAACTAATGGATTACATTGAGTACTTGTAGAATTTTTGAAAAAAATACAATGACATTTTGTTTTAGTACAAGAAGTGCAAAAAGAAAAATTATTAGGAATATGTAAATGTGTTAGTTGCTTGGCAATGAGTTGTATGGTTTGGAGATTAGCATGTCTGAGACGCCTATGCCATTGATCTGAATCAATGATTACCGAAGCACGAGATTGGGTATTGGTGGAAACACGATACAATCCATTACTGTATGGACCCTGAAGAAGAACTTGTTGAGTAGTTCGATCTTTCATTTGATATCCAGTAGCATCAAAAATAATCATGCAGTTTTTATCTTGAGCTAGCTGAGATATGAATATCAGATGTTGAGAAATTAGCTTGTGATTGGGAGTATGAAATAATTTGGAGAGAATTAGCTTATGATTGGGAGTAGGTAGAATGCCACTTCTAGGGTGCTGTATAGGAACAAATTTGGGAGTATGAAATAGTTTAGAGAGACTTAGCTTATGATTGGGAGTAGGTAGAATGCCACTTCTAGAGTGTTGTATAGGAACAACATTGCCATTACCCACGATCACACTTTCATTACCTTGATATGCTTCAGGAAGATGCAATTGGCTGTAGTGAGCTGTCACATGAGAAGTTGCTCATGTATCCATTTACTAGTCTGATTTAACTAAAGGATTGGAGGAAGTACCATAAGCCGAATGTGAAGTAGTGGCAGCCGAAACATTGGAGTTCTTAGGTTGATAATTCTCATTGAGTCGGTGCCAACAATTAGGAGCTACATGACTTGGTTTATTGCATATTTGACAAAGAACTGATCCAGAAGATTTGGTTTAAGAGGATTTTAAGTTCTTTTCGATGAGTAATTGTGAGAACCGCCCTTGCATTTATAAAATTTTCCCTTTCCTTTGTGGCAGTATAAGGCTATTTGAGAATCTGGTTCAATATTTTTCAGCTTTGAATTCAGAGGAAAGATTGTTTTCTTCACTGATTAATAGAGCATATTTGTTCTCAAGACTTATGGGAGCAGGTTGGGTTCTTATAGTTGTTTTAAATGTTTGATAGGAAGGAGGTAAACCTTTCAGAACATACAGGATAATATCTTCAGGATCTTCTTTCGAACCGACAGCCGATATATTGTCAACCATCAATTTAATTTGCATCAAATATTGCATCGACATATTGTGTAATTTATATTTTAACCGTATGACCCGATAGCGATTGAAAGATTGCAACTGTTTCTCCAACACAGTCCAAATTTCATGATAGCTATCCAGATTCAAGACATAGGGCAAGATAGATGCCGATATTGTGGAATATAAAGCAACTGCTATTTTCTGATCAATCAACATCCAAGCAGTATAAGTAGGATTCACTGATGAAGTACCTGATTTGGCGACGATGACAAGGGTGGGAGAGGGTAAAGTTCCATCATGAAATCTCAAGAACCCATTTGCTTTAGTAATCTTGATCATTTGGGATCTTCGCAGTTGATAATTATCCGCATGTAGGGCTGTCATAACCATTGATTTCAGGTTGGTCGTCATAAATTTCAGGGACGAAGGAATAGAGATTTCGGAGATTTTGAGAGTGGCTAACCCTTCTTGAATCTGTGAGCTACTTGAGTTGTCCATGGCTGCGAGCTACTGGAGTCATCTGTGGGAACTATTTTGTCCATTTTAAAAAAGACAAGGACTAAATGGTCTTTTTTATAAACTCTGAGACTAAAATGACCAATTTCAAAGTTGAGTGGCTTTGATCATGTTAATTTCCATGACACTTTTTTTGTTTGTTGCCGTTTAGATTATTTTTAGAACTCACCATTGGATCTTGTCCATTATTTCATATTTGGGAAATTTACATACACGCCACACAATCCTTATGTATCTACATATCTACACTTAAAGTTTGATATTTACACTTATAATATTTTGATGACATAAACTCATGTATGGAAAGGTGTATTTGACTTATAAAATGTAGTGATGATGATATTGCGCCACATGCCATTCTTATTTTCAAATCTTGCTACATTTCCACAACATTCATCATATTTCTCATCCAACAATTCTTTTGTGGAAATATAGCATAAATTACATAGTTCATACTAACATCTATTATCATGTTTCCTAACAAATTAAATACATAAAATGTTATCAAATGTTCATAAAAGAAATTGGGATATCAACGAGGGTGATTATGTTTTTGTGCACATTAGGTTCGGTTCGAATGCATATATACTCACATTGCCTCTAAAAATTACCATTTGCTTTGCTCCAACATTAAAAACTCATAAAAAGTTAAATCATATATGCTTAAAAAATTCTTAGAAAATTTTTTAAAATCTCACATTTTCTCGTAATAATCTCACTATTAATTTTACAAATGGTTGTAGCCATCCAAAACCAAATCTTCGGACGAGGAGCAAAGCCCTTAACTTCCCTTTGGTTTGCATTACTCTTTTTTCTAAGTGCCACTTTACATTCATCCAACCATGGCTTATTGATATAATTTTTTTAAGAAGATTTGCATAAAAACCACTCGATTCTTATGCATTCACATATCTAACACTTCCAACTTCAATTTTTACACACACACCACCTCACTTATCCCAAGTTAAAAGGGGCAAATACATACACCTGAAACATTGCTATTTACAAATATACCGCTCTCTTTCATCTATTTTTCCATGTTCTCACTCAAATATCAAAATTCATTCTCAATGATTTCATTGTGGCACATGTAAATATGTCATTTCTATAGTTCAAAAATATCACCTGGGCACTAAATTTTATAAATAGCAATGCTTTGGTTGCTATGCATGTAATTAGGGTTTAGGGTTTAAATGGTGGTATGTTTTATGTGGCATGAACAATCTGGGTGATATAAAAATAAAAAAGTAAAGTTTAGGCATTAGATATGCAAATAGATAGGAATTGAGTGGCATGCATGTAAATGTCTCTTTTCTTCTTACTTGCACAAAGAAAACTT